GCACCTGGAAGACCGGCCCCATGTACAGGCACCAGCTCTACCCCACCCAGCCCTCATCCCAGTGACAATTCAGAGCCCTGACCACGATTCCCTGGTACTTTTTGGAGCATAAATCACGATTATTGCCAGGGTGGAAGTGCCGGGAGCTGAGGCAGTGACTCACATCCCCACAGGGTGGTGGCTGGCACACCGCTCCCGTTCCCCGTGATGGAGGGGACACGAGACAATGAATCAAATGTTTATTTACAGAGGGGAACGGGGATGATGAGCGTGTGGCAGGGTGACCTTCAGCAGGGCCCGGAGATTAACTAAGTGGGCCTGTCAACCTAGCCTAACACTCGCTTCAGCCAGAGGAAGATAAAGATGGGGAGGAGAGCTCTGACCATAAATCTCTGTTTTGAAGCAAGCCGGGGACAGGCAAAGTGTGTGGCCACGGAGCAGGAGCAGCCGCTGGATGTGGATGTGGGCACGTCCCCAAGGCACTGCCAGCCTTGTGGGGACACCCAGCAGACCTGGACAAGCCAAAAAAGCCACCTAGGATCTGGTGGTGGTCAGCTGGTGCAGAACCAGGCCATTTCGAAACAGAATCAGCCCAGAAATTATTTTTTTCTCATCATGCTCCAAGAGGAGCCCCCTGTCCTTCTCTCACCTGTGCAAAAGTCTCCAAATATTAAAGTTCCTCCAGCTCCCACAGCCCTCAGTTAATGGCCATTGTTCCCATTGCCATCCATCATCGTCCCTGTTAGCTGCTGCCAGTCTTCAGAGATTTCGTATACTGCTAACTAAAACACTTGAGCTGAACTTACAAATTTCTTCACAGCAGAATGCTTTGAAGGCATTGCAGCTCATCTCCAGGGGCTTGCAGAAAAGCAACAGTCACCAGGATGTTATTTTCCTCCAGGACGATCAGGCTTTTTGGACTTGCTGCTCCTAAGATAATGATTCCCTTTTCTACCGCCAGACATATCCTGGTTATAATTGCACCAAGCTTTCAGGCAAAAATCCCACCTAAAGTACAGCTTTGGGTTGACCAAAAACATCTGATGAGCTTTTGACTACTTCATTTCGATGCTTAACAAATAAGACAATAATAGTTTGTGTATAAGCAATGCTTCCTTTGGTTGCGCTGCTTTACAGCTTAAGACTGCTCAAAAGCTAACCGAAGCCTCATGGTGCTGGTCACATGAAGCACATGTGAATCTCAGAGCTCTTTGATCCATTTTCCGCTTCAAATTTTGAACAAGAATTTCTCCCACTGTGAAAAATGGGTTTCCAATTCCCAGACCTGCACTGGCATGCATAAAGAGATACTTATACAGCTTTAACCCTATCAGCAAAGGGTTTATAATTGAGCAGCACAAGTATTCTGAACTTGTCCTTTATTCCTCCAAGATTAATTGTACACAAGCTCATCACTAGCAATTACAGAGGAAGAGGCTACTACTGCAACTGGCACTAGCACCCCATTATTTGCCTGGTGCTGATTACTTAAACCATAAACTCAACTCACCCTAAATTTCACGTACCCCACATTCAGTGGAAGACTGTAAGAAGAATATCGTTAGAAGACAAAGGCTATTCCCACTCTCTGCCAGTGGGAATACAAGTTGTTAAAATCCTTCTGACACAAACCTATTCCCCTGGGCTGCCCTGCCCGAGCCTGGCTCTGCCTGTGCGTGCACTGAGATAGGTAGCAGCAGGAAAAGTTCAGTATTTCAGAAATACTGCCTCAGTGTCAGGAAAAGGTTGGGTTTTCTTTCTTGCAAGCCTTAAAGACCAGTTTTCATTTTGGAGAGGTGTCTGTTGCCTTTCTGCTTTTGTTCTGTGCTGGCTCAGGACTCCAGGCACATGCTAAACTGGTTTCAGAATCAATCAATGAATCAGACCTTTCCAGAACCAGGAAGAAAAAAAAAAAAAAAAAAAAAAAAAAAAAAAAAAGGAACAGATTTCCTTCATCTTTGTTTTTATTTCAGTTTCTAAGCACAGAAAACATGCACGATGTTTTTTGAACCTGAAGTCATTACAGATTCCAAGACATTTCATAAAGATCAAGATTTTAACCATTAAGTTTGGCTTCTTTCCAAATCAGGTAATCACATTTCCCCTCTCTAAATTCCCCTGCACCTTCAGTTGGATGCGTTATGCTCCATTCCCTGACTTATGTTCTGCTGTGCAATTGTCTGCTCTTTCAAAAAGGTTTTGTGTTGAACGCCTGGGAACTGAGCTGGTTTCTCTCTTCTGAGGTTTAATTCATTAACACAAATCACTGCGGCATTGAGATGATGCAACTGTTGGTTGTGGATAAATGATCGCTGGTTGATAGTTTAAAAACTACCAATGAATAATTGACTAGAATTCATAGTTCGGGGAATATTTTACATTTATGAGCTGAGTAATAGAAATCCAAGCACAGCATAGCAGTAGAATTTAAAATTGAAGAATCAAACCTCCAACTATACAAGTTGGTACTGCTTGACTGTACCAAATCTACACCAAGAATTTGGCCCAAAATACCCAGAATGAAAGAAAACATTTCATTTTTCGCTTTAAGTCTGTGATCAAGGGCAATTTAAAGCCTGCAATAACCCAATTGCAGTGACAGAATTACACCAGCAGAATGGACTTATGTTTGTATTATAAAGAATTGACTTTTTTTTTCTTTTTTTTTTTTAAACAGTTCAAGAAACCGTATTTCTAGGGCCAGCTCTCATTACCTTTCTCTGCGACAAGCATGCAACCTTGGGATGCTGCAAGGGAAGCCGTGCAGGCTTGCCTCAGTGGGTAGCGAGGCAGTCCAGGGGCTCCCCTGGGTTCCTCCTGCCCACCAGCATGTCCCCGTCTCCCCAAGCCATGCTGCAGCCTCTCTGTGACCCAGGTGACAAAAAATAATTGTCCCCAAGCCCGATGCTCGCAACGCCATCAGTGTCCCAGTGTTAGGGAGCAAGGCTGGCAGTCAACCACATCCATACAGCACTGCCTGGAATGGGGTTTTAGACGTGATGATGACAAAACAAGGCAGGTCCTGTTATAGTTTGGTAAGTGGTTTCTCCTCTAACACATAGCACCAAAGCTCTGACTGCTGCAGGCAACTATCAGTTCTTCATCAGCTTCTGCAAGACCACGGTTTTGCTCCTGTTCCACCTGCAGGAAGCCTCCTGCTCAGTGCTGCTTCCCCTACTGTTTAACCTCTCTCTGGGGCTTTCATCTTGGCTTTGTCTGCCCCAAACCACTGCTTTCTGGTGACTGCATTTCAGTGATGGATGAAATGAACCCCGCTTATGTAGATTGCTTGGTGCTTTGAGAGATGTTTGAATAAATGACAGATTGCAGTAGAAGTCTCATTCATTATCAATATTGCTCAGAAATATCAAGTGTCTGAGGCCTCAATTTTATTTGGATGCTCATTACAGACTCTGGGGAAATGGAGAAAAATATGCTATGAGACACCAAAACCGAGCAGTACAGGGATGCCAGCCAGCATCGAGCAGTGGGAGAGAGCACTTTTGCTACTAAAACAGAAGAGAAGATGTGGGTGCTGGGGGATGCTTCTCCACCACATGCTCCTCCAACGGGACAGCACCTGGGGCGCTAGCCAGGGCCCTGTTTGCCTCCGGGCTCGAGGAGATGCACAGCAGTTCCCCGTGGGCAGGCTCCTCACAGCACTGCTCACATCAGCTGGCCTGCTAAATGAGGCAGAGTTTCTCCACAAGCAGCAGCGAGAAGCTTCCCTGCCAAATTTCAGCCAAATGCTCTGGGTGGCCCCGGGAAGGGGGACGCCGCCCGCTCCCGGCCTAGCCAGGGTTGGAGCCTGCGGTCAGACAGCAAACGTCTGCCCTCAGGACTGGGCGAGCCCCTGCACACAGCTCCCTGCTGGAACTGAAACGTGGAAAAATCCTAATGACTAGCCTCTGTTTTTAGGCTGTTAAACACCTGGGGAAGCCTGGGCTCTGCATCCCCAAGCTTACCGGCCCCATGCCCTGACATGGGGCTGTGGAGAGAGGCCCGAAACAGGCCGGCAGCCAGCACAACCCTCTCATGCTCCTGATGTTCTTGACAAAAAAACCCCCAGAATTGCTCTGCTTTGGCACTGCTCAGCACCTATTAGACCCCCAGTTACTAACACTGGGAAATTAAATCCACCTAGCTTACCCAACTTACCCCCTTGTTCTCCTCTTGCTCTTCCCTCACCAGCCCAAAACCCAGCTCCATCCCTCTCACTTCAGTTGGGGTTTGCCAGACAGCACTGAGCTGCAGGAAAAAAAAATAAAAAAATAAGAGTGCTTTCCCCACCACCTCATCCATCAGCTTCACAGCTCTCTCTTCTGCTGCCAAGAAGGGTTCTTCAGCAGCTGGTCGCAGCGGAGCCAGCCCAGGGCCATTGGGTTTGCTGCGTTACGGAGGCTGCAATCATCATCTGCTTAATTGTGTAACGGGCAGGGGCACGGGAGCCGAGCTGGGTGCCATGTAATGAGATTGCAGTTCAGGAGGTTTCAGGACATTAACAGTGTGATTAACCTGAAACAGCCATGGTAACAAATTGGTTGTCAAGAACAATAAATTGTCATCTTACATAGGTGGCCTGGGGTTTTCCTTGCTGGGCTGTTTTGTGCCTCAGAAAGCCATGAGTCTGTCTATGAGACTGTAACAAATTCAGCACAGAGCAATACCCGGGAAAAGACCAAAAGCACTTGATTAAACTCTATTCTGGGAATGCAGAGAAGAAAGAAAGGGAAGGCTGCTGGCTTTTAGGTCTTTAAGATGAGGACACAAGTAATGCGACAGCTGTCATCCCAATTCCCTTCCCCAATCTACAGGACAGTCCTTTTGGGGAGGAATTTGGGACTGACATTGCAGGGCCTGGAGCCAGGACAGGACGTGGCTGCTCCAGGCATGAAGGGCAGGGGCAGGACATCCTCCAGCACTGAGCTTTCAGAGCCCCAGGATGTGCTGAGCTGCTTGGTGGTGGGCTGGGGACCCCCTGCATCTCAAGGCCCGAACAATCCAGGGTGTTTCCTGCAGAGTTTTCTCTACACAACCACTGAATTCAAACTCCAGGACATTGCCAAAATTTCCAGCTGCCTTTCCACCATCTGCGGGCAGGGAGTCAGCAGCAGGGCTGGGGCAGGGCTTATTCTGTTGCCAGCCGTCTCCTGGGTGCTCTCAAGTGTGCTTCATCTGTAGCAGCCCTGCAGGAGGGTGCTGGGGGTGCAGCCCTTTCCCGGGTGCCCTCCATCAGCCGAACCACAGCAGCAAGGGGCTGGTGGCAGCCCCAAGCTCCCTGGTGTGTGAGGAGCACGGAGCAGCTGCCCCTGGTACAAGGCTAAGCGTTGAGCTGGAGTCTGCACGTAGACAGATGGGACAAGCAGCACCAACCGCTGCTGTCAGCAAGGCACACAAAGCAGCTTTGGCAATCCAGCTCAGATTCAGGGCCACAGCTCTCCGTGTTAATTTGGGGCAAATTTACAGCTCGTGTCAGAAATTAGATCCAAGCCAAGGAGAGCCCTGAGACATCCAGGGACTGAGCCAGGGCAAATGTGTACCATGCTGTCTATTGACCTGTGTTAATTTTGGCATCGGAGGGAATGCAGCCTGTGACCCATTTGGGTTTTCAGGCCTGTTGGGACCTGCGGGAAGGCTGCCCTGCACCCCATTCACTGCCCCCTTCTTCAGGAGACTCTTTTAGAGGTCTCTGGGCTAGGAGGAATCCAGATGGAGACAGGCAGATGGGGCATCCCAAAGCCTGCTGCACACTGCAGTGCTGGAGGAGTGGGCACCAGGGAAGACTGAATGGGCAGGGGGGAGAAGTTGCCCTCTTCCAGCCTTGGCAGCCCTGCTTGCAGAGGTGAGGCTCCCGCTCCCCTCTGGGAGGAAAACTCCATCCCGTAGCATCTTCCTGCAGAACAGCTTCCAGCACCTTAATTTAGCTCTGCTGCCACCCCCAGAGCCACCCAGTCACCGCAGCACTCTTCTCCCATGGAGGAGCCTGCAGGCTAAATGGACAAAATGCCTTGCTGCTCCTTAAAAGCCCCAAATCCAAAGGCTACAGGACAATAGACACGGGTCAATAAACACAGGACTCAAGATGGGTTTCCCCAAACTCCCTGCGATCCCTTCCCAGCAGGGCTCAGCTCGCTGCCACAAACTGATGGTGGAGGTGGAGAAGAGCAATCCATTCCCTCAGCCTGCTGGTGATGAGACACGGGATACCAAGAAAGACGTTACAAATCCGTCTCACAGATAACAGCATGATTTAGGAACCCAGGCCATTACTTTGAGGAGGACACGGTCTGTCAGAGCATCGCCGGCCCCTCAGCACCATGAGCAGGATCGCCGTGGCTGTGTTGGAGCTCTGCGTTCACCCTTGGCCTCACCTGAGCCCCGACAGCATGGATCAACACAACCTATTGATTTCAGCAGTATTTTGATGGCAATCCTAATGCTCAAGGCCGAACAATGCTCCTGCAAGGACTTCTCTGCTTACTCAAGGCTTTACATTGTCAATTGGGTTTTGCCAGTGTGCGTGAGCTTGCTCTTTCCCCACTCCAGGTGCTCTGTCGGATTGATCCTTTCGTTACCTTTTGCAATCAATGTGTCTGGGCTTAGAAAGACGATAGGCACGGAGGTCAGCAGCCAGACGGGATGGCAGTGCTGCAGCACCGTTATCTGGGTTGTATCCACCTCCCTTTAAAGCACAGACCCCGAGGGGCTGCATGCCTGGGGCTTTCAGTGGCTTTGAGAGGGTTTCCCACTGAGACGAAAGGGCTCAGTAGTAGCAGGTGCCTTTGATAATCACACCTTATCTTCACAGACAGGTGCTGAAACATTTGAACAATGCAATGCCAGGCTTTTAAAACCATTTGGGCATTTACAGATGACACTAAAGGCCACTTAGCAAGAAAGCCTCTTCTGGGATTCTCAGAATAAAGTCCCTAAATCCTCCTCACAAAGATGACAGCCTAAAACCCTTAGGTCTTGCCTGTACACCAGAGCACAGACTTAATCACATGCAAACTAACACCCACTCTTACTACCATGAATGCAAATACAACTAGGATCATTTATTCTGCTCCAGCTGCTGCCAGAGAAGGGAATCGCTCTGCCAGTGGAGGCATCTTTATAGAAGTGAACCTGCCTTCACCCACGGAGATGTACCTTGCAGCAGCATCACTACACAGACAGGTGATGGACACACGGAGAGAAGTGAACCCCGAGGAACAGACTGGAGCAACGAGCCTACAAAGGAGGCAGCCGTGCCTGCACATCCAGAGGCAGGCATGAGAAAGCCTGAGGGAAGTGCAGCTGATTCATCCAGGGATAAATTTGCCACTCCCAGTGCATGGATCCATCATTTTTAGGCTCGCAGTACTCCTGCCCATATATTTGCAGTATTTTCAGGTGTACACAGCTTAGTTTGCCACATGTGAATCCATTGTCTGAATGACATCTGTGTTCAAGCAGAGTCTGAAAAAGCTCAGTTCTGTACCTGGCAAGAAGTCCATCTTCACAGCCTTTACTTACACAGTCAGTAACCTTCATGGTCCAGCCACAATCCTGGTGAGATGCCAGCGCAATGAGACAGAGGTCTCAGCGTGGTGAGGCTGCACCAATTCTTGTACTAAAGGACGAATGGTCGAGTTATCCACAGCTGTTTTACTGGGAGCTTCTGGCTGATTTACATGGCAAAGTGGTACAATCAAGTGGAGATCAAGCACACACAAAAATAGAAGCTCTTCTCAGGTTCTTCACATGAAGCATTAAATAAGGACTGCCCCTCGACTAGGGACTTTGGGTGTTGCTAGTTTCAACAGGCAGAGTTCTTCACTTCTGGTACTTGGCAGCAACTTTTGCATATTAATTCTGATAAGTGTTCCACGGGTCCTTGCTGTATGGAAATAAGACATTCATTAGCATGTAGCACGGGTAGACGTGCCACCCTTCCAGGTGGAGCTGTGCAGGCAGAGCACGCAGCTTTCCTTTCCCCTCCTGCAGGGCTCTACATGCCCATCCGACCTACACTGCTGCTGCCCGTTTGTCCTCACTCTGCAGATCCCTGCAGAACAGCAGACCTTAGATAAAAGCAGAAGAAACCTCTCTTCCTCAGACCACACACCTAACCAGCAGCTCACCAGGCAGCATCCTAGCAGGGGCTCCGTGAGCCTGGGGTTGGGGTGGAAGCCAGGATCCCCTGGCAGAGCCCAGAGGTGTCAGTGCCATACAAGCTCTTTACATCCAAACTGCGCTGATTTCATGACCCGCTGCTGATGGAGCCCCATGGAGCAGTACACATTAAGTCTACCTGGCTCCAGCAGCACAGCCCCAGCTGGGCTCCTTGCCACGCTTGTTCTGCCCAACATAAAATACAAGAAAGTGAATTCGCAATAAAAAGGAAAAAAACATGAAATTTCTCTTTGAAAAAAAACATGAAATTTCTCTTTGCAATCTCATTCTGCTCTGGGGCAGGACTCTGGCAGAGTCCGAGCTCCAGCTCTGTTTCAGCCAGCCCAGCGAGGAGGATTAGATCAAAGTTTTGCTCATTCCTACCACAGGCAGGGTGTCCATAGCTCTAGGAAACACGGTCTGGCTGCTGTTACTGATACTGAAAAACAGCTATGATGGGTAAAACTATCATTTTTTTCTTTCAGATCAAGCCCAAGTTTACTGGTTCACGATACCTAAGCTCTGGCATTTTGTTTAAAAGGAAAGGTTTGTCTGTCTACAGTGCTCCAGAAGATCAGATTCCGGATAACAGTGTGCAGACACCTGCTATGTCCACACCTGGAATTGTGTTTAATAGCAGGCAATTTAACCCCCTGACGGTCCTCATTTTGTATGGAAACTGTGCGGGGATAGAAGGGGAGTTGGCTCCAACTGTGCTCGGTTGCTATGTAATTTCCTTCATTATTTTTTTTTTAATAAAAAGATGTCTGTTATCAAATCCAAACATTTAATACATACAAAAAGTATACATACACAGACAGCCCTCCACGCCCCTCCTCCTCCCATTTTGGGCTGATGCCCAAACGATGCCAATGAACGAACTGCATCCAGCTGAGTGGAACACCCCGCACAAAGTCAGCCACAGAGCTCATTACAAAATGCTCAGGCCTCCCCGTTTGAATCCCTTTCCCACGCATGATGACTGGTGTTTAAATAAGTACATAGCATTTTCTAGAGCATTTCACTCACTTTAATTAAAAGCTAATATTTATAGAGCCAGGCAGATGTGCTATACACCAAGAGAAAAGAGGTCTCCCCCCTGCCTCGCCAGTGCCTTTCTGCAGTAACGACCGTGTAATCGCTGCTAAACTGGAGTAAGCACTATTGATTGGTGCCTCTAATAGGGCATATTATTTTAAAGAACTTGCAGGAATGGACTATTCAAGCTCCTTTTATTTATTGAGACTATGAAGGCTGTAATCACATGGGAGAACACCTGGTTATTTGTCACGCACTGGTCATTCAGGAGGTGTATCCGACACCACGGCCACCTAAATGAAGTGAAACAAGCACAGCTCTGCTGTGGAAGGATTTTGTCATCATCCCATGGCACAAACCAGGCTGTGGCAGCCCACAGGCTGCTCCTGGCATCACACCAGCTTCTGACCTCCTCTGTGAGCACAGGAGGCCAGCAAAGCAGGACCCCGTGCCCCACACAGCACCTCAGTCCTACAAGCAAGGGGGCAGGCAGCGCCTCCCTGACCGCAGACACGTGGCAAAGGCACCAGCTTCAGCTACTGGATGCTGCTAGCATTGCACCCCCACACCAAAACCCAAGTGTTTCTGCTTCGAGGAGGACTACACTGGACTACACTTAGTAGAGGACTACACTGCAAATAGGGACACTCCACAGGGCAATTGTGCATCCAGGATTAAGATGGAAACCAGCTCGTGGAGCAACACTTCATTTAAGTGCTCTTAATTTGCCGCTTTTTGCCTAGTAACTAACACTGTTACTCCAGAGCTGTCTGCATTACAGCATCATTTGTTGGTAATTATGCATTATCTTCCTTCGGCACATCCCATCACACAGATGCTGGCCACAGCATCACAGCTCCCCAGAGAGCTGGGCTCGTGCTGTGGCTCTGGGAGCAAACACCAGCAGCAAGGGACGGCTCTGTAAGGACACAGAGCAAAGGGCAGGGGGACAGTGACACCCTACCTGGGTGAGAGAAGCTCTGCTGATAACAGCCAGTGACCTCCACACATCCCTGGGCACAAGAAGCCACACACAACACAAGTTGGTTCCCAGGCTGAGCTGAAATACCTCTCCTGAGCCAAGGGGGGAAGCCCCAGGTGGGCTGCTCAGGGCAAGCAGAGCCAGCTGGAGCCCAGGGAGGGCACTTCACCTGCACGGTTCTGCCCTTCCAGCAGGATAATTCAAGAGCTATTAAGCAAAATCAGCCCTTAGAGGAGCTCCATCCCTGCTGTCCTGGCAAGCACAGCCCCCCTTGTCAGGGCCATTGCCATCCCTCTCCTTTCACCAGCTCCTCTCCCTGCTTTTCTCCTTGTCTCTGCTTCACCTTCACTAAGAATTTCCCACTGCAGCATAATCACAGGTGCTTCACCAAAAAGCACCTACATGATTTAATGCCTATTAAATTCAGGATCCTAGGAAAGAAGTCCTAAATTAGTCCTGCATGTTCCTTGTCAGACCATTAGCCATTTTGACTTTTAGGCTATTTTCCACTTAAATCTGGGCTTTAAGTGTTTTCTCTCAAATTTGTTCTAACGCATGGCATGTTATACATCAAATAAAAGGTCCTGTTTGCTGTCCTTGCTCTAGCTGTAGTGCTGAGGATTTCCTCGAGACAGCTTAGAGGTGAGCTCCTGTCTGTGTGCAAACACCCGGCGTACAGCAGTGCTGGGCTTCCTTCCCCTTTGGGGGGAAGGGGTGATGGAGGCTGGTGCTTGGAGAGAGATCTGCGGTGTGCGAGGTCGGTAACTGAGTGTACAGCCCTACAGACAACCCTCCTTTTGGAGGCTACAGTCCTGATCTCTCTGTCCTGAAACAGGGAATTGATTTTGTTCTTGGAAGTTCAGTGGTGGTAGCAGTGATGTTTTTTACAAGAATAACCCTCTGCAGCTTTCTGCTGGTCAGAAGGACGCAGCCACCTGTGTTAGAACAAGAGAAAGGCAACTCTGATATCCTGAAAGATTTCTTCTCGTGTTTCTGTCCCTAGCATTTCATTCGATGCTCCTTGCAAAGTCTCCTGTCTGCAGTGAAACACATGGCCATCCAGAATTGCAGCAGTTAACAGCTCTAGGAGCCTCCTTGCCTCTCTCTGAATTATTCTGTGCATCCCAAGGATCTAATTTACCACTTAAATGCTCTATTTTGTCCCCAAAAGGAGCGCTGCCTACACCAAACACCAGGCGACAGGAGCGCTGTGGAGCTCACTATGGTAGCTGCAACTTCACCTTCAGTCCTGATTGATCTGAGACAAATTAATCTAAATAGTACTCAGTAAACCTGGTGCTGTTGGGAAGCCCACTGTGTGGGGAGCATCCAGACCCCATTCCCCAGGGAAGGAAGAACACGTCCCATGCCTACCAGGCTGTGGGCACCACAAGAATAAATAAGGAGGGGGAAAGGCATAGTGGTGTCGGACACTTGATGTTTCTCTGTCCTAAAACACAGAAAAAGGCTTGCAAGCTGTGGGTGGAAATCCCCCTGAGATGCCCCTGCAGCTCTGGATGCTCCTGAGCTAACTCCCTACAAAGGTACCAGGGCAGCTTCTGCTTCTAGCACACAGAAGCTTCTGCTCCTGCACCGGCTGTCTATTTCAATACAATGGTTAGTTCAGGAGTCAGCAGTCCTCTGAGCATCCCAGAACAAGGGAAGAGCTCGGGTGGTGGAAGACTTCAGCCCCGATGAGCATTTATTGGCAGGAGGAGGCTGTAGGAGGGCAGGAGCCCCTGGCAAAGCTCAGAAGGAGCGGGGTGGCTGCGGCTGCCTCGTGCCTTGCTGGCAAAGAACTGGGGCTTTCCGAGGGAGCTCAGGTGTAGGCTCAGTGTCTTTTCAAGGCAGTGGAAAAAACACACTCAGAGCAAATGTCCTGATGAGCCCCCAGCCTTGCTGGTCTCCTCTCTGGACTGGACAGCTGTATGTGTGGTGCTGGGGAAGAGAGCTCCTGTGGAATCCAAAAGGTGAGCTGGGACTCAGGTGGGTGCACCAGGAGAGCAGAAAGCAGCTGTTAATGCTGACCCTGCACGGCTGGGGGAGCTGAATTCGGTCCTGAGGGCTGCCCGGTGCAGTGCTGGGTTCCCTGTGTAACCCCTGCCCTGTGCACGAGGGAGAGGAGGGGGCGTTAGGCACTGTCCCTGCCCACCCGTTCCTTGGCTGCTCTCCTCCTTTATCATCCTTGGAAGCTTTATTGCCAAGTTTTTATGCAAAGTAGAAAAAGGCTCATTAGATGATGTCTGAAGTGCTCCTCTGTTGCTGTTAAAATGCAGCAACCGTGTAACTGAACAAAATGTTCTGGTTGGGTTAATGCTGTGTGCAGGTACAGAACGACTGAGCTGCAGAGCAGCGAGAAGCCTGCAGAGGAAGGGGAACGGCCACAGTCTGCACGCGTGGCAGGCTTAAAGTGTGGGGAGAAGCCCGGACACCCTCACTCCAAGCTTAGTACCACATATGCTAAAGGTCTCTGACCTCCCTCACAGAGCTCCAGAGAGCAAATCTGGAAGAGGATGGATGCACCCCGGGTTCTCTCTGGTCTCTCACCCTTTTGTTGCAGGTCAGGGACATGCAGAGATCAGATTTGTGAGGCTCTCAGGGTCGCACTGTTTAGGGTCTGGTCCTCAGGCTAAATCCTCAGCTGGTGCCAGCTGGGCAGCGCTGTCACAGTTCATGCAGGTGAGGTAAGTCCCTGTGTCCATCGCCTCCAGGAGCTCCCGATCCACAAACACCAGCCCAGAGCAAATCCTGGTGGAAGAAGGCTAGGAACTAGGTTCAGGAGGGCAGTGCCTTGGGACATGTCAGCAGCTCTCCTGCAGCTCTAGGTGAGAGCTCTCCAGCTGGGCAGCCACAGGGAGCAAGAGCAAGCTGGAAGTGCTGGTGGCCTCTGAATTCTGCTCCTTCAGCTTGAGCTCTTAGAAAAACATGCTGAGAGGGGAAACACAAGCTAGGCATAAGGAAGGTTTTGGGCCTTGCAATAGTGTTTTGTTTTGTTTTTTAAAAAGATGCAATACTGCTGTGTGCAGGGACCTCTGGGTCCTGCTACTAAAAGCCACAACCGCTTCATGCTTCTTTGCCTGGGAGCAAATCCTCCCATGCTGGTGCCTGATTGAATCCCCAATGCTTCCAAGCATCAAAAAGGGGGTTGGACAAGGATTATATCTTTATCTTCAACTATCTTTATAGTCTTTTGCAATTCCTTTATTCTGAAGGTCTCCAAAGGTTATGGAAGTGGCACCTGTGCAGCTGAATCTTGCACTGGGAGCAAGGTTTTGATTGCTTCTCTTTTGCTTATGCTATGGAAAAATTGTTTTCGTCTGCCTGCTGATGGGCTGCAGGGAAAGTGGAGCACAGGATGTAGAACTACAGAATTTATCAGATAAACCAGTGCTTAAAATATCCTTCCTCGCTGCATCCCATTACATCTCTTCTCCCTGTTCCTGGTCTCGTTCAGGATACTATTAACTCAATGGCTTCGGTCCTGGCTCTGCTTACAGCACAGCATTAAGTTAAAATTGAGCATCAGCTGCTTGAGCTGCAGCAAAATTCATCTCAGTCTTCTGATAGCTGTAGGCCAGGAACCCACGACCAGGAACAAGGTAACGAGTAATTCATACAGAAAAGCTAGAAAATTAAATCTGTTCTACTAAAGAGAGGAAGATTTAGACTGGAAAAGAATCCATTTACTCCCCAAGTCCCTGCTGTTGCTCCCGATTTCCAGCAAGGGCGTGATGCTGGGGGCAATGCTGGCTCGGGGGCAGCCTTCCTCCAGCTGCCCGGGTGAGCAGCTGTGCAAAACTTACTGCAAAGTCTGTCTTAATGTGGCTTAGGCTGAATGAAGACATCTTTCTTCCAGGCTAAACAAGGTGTTTTAATGCCAGCCAGTAAATTATCTCGTGTAATCTAGCTGCTGCCTCCTGCTGAAGCAATGCCTGTGCCTGGGAGAGAAGGAGCTGTCTCCCTGTGAGTGAGTGTCTGCAGGGCAGCCCAGCGGTGACCTTGCTCCGAGACCTGCTGAGGAGCTGCCAGAGGCAGAAATCTCTTCCCCCCTCCAGGTAGACACCAAGATTCAGAAGAGCCCAGGCAGGCTCTGCCACCAGCCTGGAGAGGGATCATTGCCTCACCCACATAGCTTTTTTCTAGCTTGTATCAGCTTCTGTTTAGATGAGAATCTCATGAATAGTATTTAGGGACAGAGTGGCTGGGGCTGGTAATTCAGGTAACAGTCACTGACCGTCCTGATGGCTGAGAGCAGCTTCAGTGTGTTCAGCTCCGGCACGATAGAGGCAGAGAGGTTGCTGCACCAGGAGCAAGCCTGAGGCTGAGCCTTTTTTCCTCCCCTTCCCACTTGGCAGCACGTCCTTCTTGGATGCATCTTAAACTGCTTTGTAGTGGAGCATATGCTTAAAATTCGGAGTCAATGGACGCAGGTTTGGAGGCTAAAGACACCAGAGACCTCTAGAGTGAAGCACCAGTTCGGGCTGAGCTGTGATCCCCTACCTGCTGCTTTGTGCTCAGCATGTTGCTCTGGGAAGACTTTACTCTCGTTGGTGCAGATTTATTGCCGATTGACTTTCTTCATCTCACTCTGCAGCCCACGGAGCCTGTCCTGCTTATCTCGAGTGTCAGAGAGCTACCTGGGAGCTGAGGAACAGCAGGAGCAGTGCTTGCTAGGTTGTTCACCAGGTTCATGCGGTGAGGGATGGAGCCCTCCCACTCCCTTTGCTTCCCCCAAGCAAGGTGGATTTCCAGGTGGATGGAGGCTGGCTGGAAAGCTGCTGGAGAAAGCCTGGGTGTGCTTTAGGAAGTCTGTTGTAAAGCAGCTTGGGCTGAGCGCACCAGGACCTCCAGCATCTCGAAGGAGGCTCAGGCTGGGTTATGCAAAGGGTGTTTAGCATTCAGAGCAGCGTGCTGGCTGCTGGGCTTCCTGCACTTCGTGTGTTGCTGCTGCCGGGAGCTCAGCGAGGGCCACGAAGCCAGCTCCTCAAAAAAGAATAACATCATTTGGTGTAATAAGCCCGGTGGCTTTTTACTCTTTGCATCTAAAAAGATGCAGCCAGGTGCCTAGCGTAAACCCAATTGCTTAGCGCAGATGTGACTCCATCCAGGTTTCTGTTATTTCTTCCTTTCCTTGCTTTGATATGCGAGATGTAAAATCCACAACTGCTGTAACTAAAGAGATTCAGACCTTCCCTTGGGAGATCCTGCAGTAAAAAACTCACTGAATGCCTGCTGGGGTTGCCTGCAGTGCTAACAGGAGGAGAGCAAAAACCCGGGGGTCTCAGACATGCAGCACCACCTCTTCTGCAGCCTGGCTGGGGACACAGAGCAGGAGCAGGCGGGATGATGTGGATGATGCTGTGCTGCAGGGCTGGTGGCTGCCAAGGGTGCTCTGGGCTGTTCCTTGTCCTCCTGGGAGGGCGTTTGGCCAGATCTCCTTCCTCTGAAGCTTCTGCAAAACAGCTGTGGAAATAGCTGGCTCCTCGAGGAGTGCTGTAGTGCCCTCTGTCCCAGGGCCCCAAAGCACAGAGGTGGATCTCCCATCCCTTTGCACCCTGCCGTTGGGTCCCTGTGGAGCTGCAGCCCCACCGCCACCCTGTCAGCACCAGGGAACAAGCACGGGGGGCAGAAGGCTGAAAGCACCCTCTGGGTCCCAGGAGGGTTGGTGTAAATACAGCTGGTAGCAATTAGTGAAGGGTGATAAATAAATGCTTGTTCTTTTCACTCCTGCTGCTTGGCTTAAAAGCGAATTTGGCTTCTTGTGCCTGCAAAGGTTTTGTGCTGGGTGGTGTTATCTGGAGGTATGAGAGCTGTGCACACACCTGCACGCCCAGCTTTAGTTTATAGCCAATAGTTTAATTCTCGTCTGAAATACAAAGTCATGCTGGAAACCTGTAAGGATGGAAGTTTGCACCAGGGAAACTCTGCTCTCCTTCGGGGGATCGGGAGGGCTGGGGTCCGCACGTCGCTGCCTGTGTGGGGCTTTGCTTGGAGCACGCCTGGGTTCAGAGCCGCAGGGACGGGAGATCCTCCACAGGGGAAGGGAATTAAATGCTCCAAAATGCGATCGGTCCCTGGGGAGATGTGGCAGGATTTAGATGATGACATAACGTGCTTGTCTCGTCTCCGCTGCTCTGCTAATGAGTCCGATTTGGAAGCATTAGAGATGTATCCGCGGGCTTTCCTGTGTGTGAGTCAGGGGATCACAGCCCTAATTAGCCTCGTCCTCTGCCAGCAGCTGAGCCACTCGGCTGTCCAGCATGGGCAGAAATGCCCCACGAGTGCCCTGCATGTTTGCCCAGCACAGCGCTGCCTCTGTCACACCTCGGGGCTGCTGAGCAGGGCCTTTTGCCTGGCATGTGCGGGCTTCTCTCGTCGTGGCTCCTAGAGAGATCTGCGCAACCACTTCTGTTCTGGAGAGCTTCAGAAATGTGATGACAGCTTAGAGGCTTTTTATTCTCTATTGGCTGTTTCTCACTTTAGGAGAACTTTCAGCATCCTGAACAGCATTTTTTTCCCCTCCAAAACCAGCATTTGCTTCCCCCAAATGTATAATTTCTATGAGAAAATTGGCGTAGGGGAAAACCTTCACTGAAGCTGATCATTTGGTGGAGAGAGGATGCTCAGCTGGGTCCCAGAAGGGAGGAGAGGTCAGCTTCCCTCTGTCTGACCTTTCTGAAGGAATCTGGGTGCTCGTTCCTCACTGAGACAGCAGAGGCATCTCCACAAGGGCTGTTATGGGAGTGAATATGGTGGAGGTGAGGATGCAGAGATTTCAGATAAGGGGATGATAAGAAACAACGAAGTGTGTGGCCAAACGCAGCTGTGCTGAGCAAAGGCAGTCTCAGGATGAGTTCCTCTCTCTGAAGTCTTTTGCAGCGCGGTCTGTGAGCTCTGGCAAGCTCCTTCGTGGTGCGGAGCCCTGCTGGAGCTGGGTGTCTGTGCTCCAGCCGCTGCAGCTGGCCGTGGTGCCGTACGCCAAGGCCCAGTGAGGGCTGCACTCTTCCGTGGTGCTTGTTCCCTGCACTGGAGACAGGGACTGTGCTGTTTAATCTGGTGGCACCACCAGACTGGAGGCAAATAAAAGCCTGCAGGGACAGGAGCCAAGCTTCAGGCTTGCCCTGGCTTTTTTTTCATATCCTTCCATGCTCCTCATTCCCCTCCACAGCCTTTTCGGTGAGGTTTGGTGCTGAGCTGTGGCGGGTGCTGGCAGCTGCTCAGTCAGCCGTGCTCCTCCAGCATCTCTCAGCATTGCCCCTGATGGCATGAGATTAATTCTGTAAAAGAAAATAAAATGACTGATGTGATTGAAATGCCTTTGCCCTGCTACATTTAATCAGCAGCAGTGGGTATTTATTGCCTTATATACCACTAATCAATAGTGATTAGTACCTCATTAACCTTTCTGTTTTTCTGATTGTCTTCTTGCAGTGTTGTAATAACAGAGCTTCCCTCTCCAGCCTGACAGAGGCGGTTCCGTAGGCTGCAGAAGGAAGTGCTGATGCCTCTGATGAGGTCTGTGACCCTATTACTATGAGGAGGAATCACTGTGCCACCCATCCACACCAGGAGGTGGCAAATCCTCGCGGGGTTCACTCACCTCCAAGCTCCCATGGCAAACATCTCAGCCCCGTAACTCTGTGACAACGGCTGAGGGGGAAGCAAAAGCCTCAGGGGTGCAAAATCTCTGGTGTGGGGCATATTCCCCAGGAAGAGAGAGCGGCCTGATGCTCCGGTGTTGTTTCAGGGTGGTCACAGCAGCCAGGAGAGCACTGCTCCCCTGTGACTTGTTGCGTTTGCACCTAGGATGCACTTACAGCCTCTGTTGTGACAGATGCGCTGAAAAGCAAAGTGAGCAGCTGTGGGGAACCGTTCCCTTCCTCCCCTGCTGCATTTGCTCCCTCACATCCGTGTGACCAGCCCCTGGGGCTGAGTTCCCCGGCTTGCTGGGCTGAGTGGTGCTCCCGGAGCAAAGCTGTGAGGGACGGGGCGCAGCAGTGCACCCGCTGAGACTTCCAGCGCCACAGAAACAGTGGTGGGGAGGTGGGCCCGAGGAGTGCAAGGTGGGCCCCGGAGACTGGCAGGCTTCCACAAGCAGCAGACTGGGATAAATTTCTGCAAATTAGATAAATTTCTTCAAATTAGATTAGCGCTGTGTGGGTTCATTAATTCTCAGTGTGAGTGAAGCCCCCTGAAATTCCACCTGCTGGCAGGCTGAGCTCACACTGACAAGCTCTGCGCTGCTCAGGCCAGCTCTGAAACCGTCAGGTGCATTTCGGGAACCCCTCGGGACAGGGCTGCACTGCCCCCAAGTGCATTTGGTGTCCTCCAGCCACAGCGACTGCTGTAAGTGCCACAGCTCACGTGCAGTGGGATCGAGAGGGGTGTAAAATGGGGTTTAATGGGTGTGAAAGCATTCCAACAGCATGGAAACAGAAGTGTGTCTGGTGATACAGGTGAAGCTATTTCTCTTCAGTTATTTTTTTTTTTGATGTAGGCAGTATCTAAAAGTCATCCTGTGGTGTCCACCCTGTGGAAACAGTGTCTTGGTGGTCTGGAGCAAAAATACTTGCCTTAGATCTTCTGCATAATGGGGAGCAATGAAATTCTCACCCCACCGAATCTGTCTGGGGCCGGCTTTGCTCACTGCAGTCTCAGCGTGGCGCTGAGCGATGCGAGCGTATGGATTTCCTGGTATGCAGCCACGGGAGGCTTTAACAAGTGTCTGAGTTTCCTGCCCCTCCGCCTGCCTGGACCTGGCTCTTAGCTCTGCCGTTGGCTGGAGCACGTCAAATTGAACTTCATCTGATTAAGCACGGCAGCGCCGATAACTTGGAAGTGTTCCTGTTGTGAGTGGATTACATTTGTGCTCCTAACTCAGAAAATCCCCCTTGAAATGATGATTTCTCACTGCTCCTCGAGCTTTGCCTTAAATGTGACTGCTGCCTGCTACGCCTGGAGCTGAGGCGAGGGAGCACACGTCTCTGCTGGTCGTGCAGCACCTGGCGTGGTGGGGAACGTGTGCCTGGGACCTGCTAAACCCCCTGAGGAAGCTTTTTCCTCTGCTCTGGCTGTTTTGTGTTGACCACTGGACTGCAGCACTCAGCCGATTGTCGTCCGTGCTGAGGAAAGCACCTGCTCAAGCCACGCAGCCCAGTCCAGCCGCCCAGGGACAGGGGATTGGGAGCCAATCTGCTAAACGGGGATTTAAGCCAGAGGCAGCCCCGAGTGCCTCCGTCTCCTGACGCTCCCAAGCAGCACAGGCAGCCGCCGCTTCCTCCAGGCCCTTCCCACAGTTCAGCCCAATCCTCCAGCTCTGCAGCAAGGGCTTTCCAACCAGAAATAAGTTTCCCCATCTTCTTGCTACGCTGCCTTTTAATTAGGAGCACAGCTACTCTGGAAACGCGGAGCTCACTTTTCAGAGCGTGCTGGAAAGTGATTACAATGGATTAAAGTGGAAAGGTTAGGCAATTTATTCATCTGGCACTTAGCAAATGCGTTGGATTATTTTGTGCCGCGGGGATGATTTTAAAAAGAAAACAACACCGTTCCAGCTCTCGCTAGCCCTGAGGTTCCCTGCTGCACGAGCTAGGTGGTGGAGCTGAAATGCTGCTTGAGCTGAGCTGTGCTGCGTGCAGTGACTGTAACGGAGCTGAGGTGAACCTGAAGGTGCTGCTGTTACCTTCCTGGTGTCAGGACAAGCCCCTCTGGTTACTGAATCTGCAGCTGAGTCAGGACTGAACGTGGACTCTTCCAGCCCTCACAGATCTCGGCTCCAAAGGACGACTTCCCCGAGTGTTTGCAGAATAATGCTGCTTGTAAATGGCATTAACTTCCCATCCTGAGCACCTGCTGCCGAATATTCCAGCTGGCAGAGCTCTTTGCTTTCCACAAGGACTGTTCTGATTTATGGTGGTGAGAAGCTGGCCCGTTTTGCTGAGCAGCCCTGGCAGGGCACTGCGAGCCGCTGCTCCCAGCAGCTGTGGGGCCCTTGCTCAGCAGCTTTACTCCTGCTGAGAGCTCTGAGAGGTTTTGCCCGGGTGTGGGAATGTTCCTGTGCCTAAGGGCAGGATGAGCCCCTTCTCCTCTCTGGTCCAAAGCCGTGTGCTGCCCTCAACTGCATGGCTTAAGTGCTTAAAGCAGTGGAGAGGATAAAGCCTCTAGAAATTAATCAGCCTCACTTCAAAGCTGAGGGTCTATGAGAAGATCTCAATCCCTTTCTTTTCCAGTCCCCCCCCCCCTGGCCGGACTGTACAGGGTAAAGACCCAACTTGCAGTGTTCAATCAACCTCAATCTGAAGAATATCTGGGAACAAAACGTTGCAGGTGTTTTGGGAGCAGCTGTAAGTAGAACTAGAAGAGGTGTCACATCCAGCCCTGCTCCAAAGGGGTGCCTCGGAGCTGTCCTACAGCAATCAGCAGCTGAGCGGGGCATCCCAGGGACAAACAGCCTCCCCCAGAACCCTCACAGCAGCAAGAAAACAGAGTTCTTCCCAAGCACAGCTCCTCCTGCTGACTTTGTGTGTGTATTTCTGGGGGGTAGCATTGAGTTCAACTTGTCTTCTGTTGGGAAACTGCCTTTGTGATAGCCTGCAGAGCAGCAGTCAAAAGATCAGGGCCAAATTCCACCGCTGGGGAGCGTTGGGTCATTGAATGCCAGCGGCGGTTGTGGTTCTGACGCTGCCAGGGATGACCTGGATGCTCTGCTCCAGGCTGGGGCTGGTGCACTGCAGGGCTGCTCTTTCTGTGTCGGCTCATGTCGGTGTCCTCAGCAGCTTCTTGTAGGATTCAAAATAAATAAAAAATTCGGAGATGCTCAGATACTGTGCCTGTGAGAGTCACAGGCACTTTAAATAGCAGAGTCTTCAAGGGGGTTACTAAAATTAAAATTGTTTACATGCGATGTGAAGACATGAAATATCTTGTTTGCCCTTCGCATTTTGTTTGGCTGTTGTGGGCGTATTTTTGTTTTTACTCACTTTGTCATATATTGCCCCTTTTTTTCCCAGCAATGTTGACTGTTCCATCTGCTTATTTATCACCCACAGCTAGAACCCGAATTTCAATTACCAATCTGCTTTGTTTGGTCTTGTTTTATACGAGGCATTGAAAGCTCCAACAAAGCTTTAATACATAAAACTACTTGTAATGCAGCTGTTAAAGCTTTCCGATCATATCCATGAACAAAATGAATTCTATTGCTATCAAGATGCCTCTGATAAATTAGGTTTAATCCTCCTTGACTGCAGTGGATAGAAGGCACTTCAGCAACGATAGAAAGATTTCAAATGGATGAGATGAGAAATGTTTTTGCTTCAGAGACGTGAAAGAAGCCAAGATCTCAGGTAGTAAGAAATAACTTATCTAGCAACTGGAAAAGCAGTCTTTGGATTTCTGCGCTGAGATCTAATCTTGAAGGATCACTTTTGGATCTGAAGGGTATTTGACAGGAAGAATGTGCCAGGTTTCCACCCTCTGGGCGTTCTGCTGTCGGCAGTAACTGCAAAAGGCAAAGCTCAGCTGTGACAGGTGATGGTTCTGGCGCTCCTGATGCTAGGGGGACCTGCAGCTCTGCTGGCTTTCATGTTCTGTCCCTTGCTTGGTGGCAAGGAGATAAGTTCCTTGCTAGGCTTTCTAAACACACATAGAGCCAGTTCTCCCTGAAAGCCGACAGCCCAAACTGGCCGATGTGGAAGTAGAAAAGTGTGTGGCTAGGTGTGAGGCAAAGTCCTGTGCTCCCCTAAATCCTGCAGCTCTGTGCTGTGATCTGCAATCTCTCTGCCCGTGGCACTGCTTCTTGATTGCTGTGGCTGCATCTTGGGATCCTTCATGGAATGGTGCTGTGGGGCTTACTTGGCAGCTATTTGCTGTCCATGAGCTGAGTTATGTCTTGATCGAGTTTACCCAAGCTAGCGGAAGGGTGTTTAGGTGTGGTGAGTTTGGGTTTGACTCAAAGCCTGGCTTCGTGAGTTGCTCCAGTACCAGCCAAGAAGCCAGTCCATCCCCATTCCGTAGATCCTAAATCCCACTGACGTCTGACTGAAACACACCAACCGAAGCTCTCCACCGAATCACGGCCGAAGGGCTGAATTCCCGCTGTTACCTACAGCCAGCCACCATTCCACCTGGCATGCCGGGCAATGGAAAAAACACCAGGCGGGTCAGATAACGGGGTCACGGCGGCCCTGTGGGGCTGCAAGCTGATCTGCTCGCTGTGCTCCGGGCCGGGGAGGGATGGAGGGGAGCGGGCTGGGGAGGCGCTGGGACTCCCCTCGGCCTCCATCCTCCCCTCAGGCCTCCCTCAGCAGGGGCTGGCGCTGGGGCCCATCTGTGTGATGAGCTGTGCGCAGGCCTCAGCCCACCTCATGCTGGTCACAGGATGCTGTAACCCCCCAACAGCCACCCAGCAGCCCCAGTCCCGCTTTGGGGCGGTGACACCGGTGTGTGCCTGGGGGGCGGGGCGTTAATTAGCACCTCGCTAATTGCCGCGCGGCGGGGGCGGGGCCTAGGCTGTTGGGGGGGGGGGGGGATGCATCAGGCGTCTCCTAGCAACTCGCGGCCACGTCACTTCCTGGGGGAGCGCGCGGGCGGCCGGAGCGGCGCGGGGCCGGCAGCGGGGCCGGGCTCGGAGCCCCGGGGGCCGCGGGTTCGAATCCCGGCGGCGGCGGCGCCATGAGCGCGGAGCCGGACTCGGCTTCGCTGCGCTCCTCGGCGTCGTCGGGCTCGGGCTCGAGCTCGGGACCGGCTCCTCCAGTCTGCCCCCCGGCCGCTGTCTAGCAACGTGCGGCGGCTGCACCAGGCGCTGACGGCGCTGCTGAGCGAGGCGGAGCGGGAGCGCTTCGTGCTGTGCCTCAACGCCTACCACGGCCGCCGCAACGTCTGCGACCTGGTGCGCTCCCTGCGAGCCCTCCTGGACGCCCCCCGCCGCCGCCAGCTCCTGCCGCTGCTGCGCCTCGTCCTGCCCCGCTCCGACCAGCTGCTCTTCGACCAGTACACGGCCGAGGGGCCCTACCTGCCGCCCCCCGGCCCCCCCCCGCAGCCCCCCGGGCGGCTCCGGCAGGTCAGCCTGCGGCGGAGCAAAGCCCACCAAGGGCTGGGCTTCAGCATCCGCGGCGGGGCCGAGCACGGCGTCGGGATCTTCGTGTCGCTGGTGGAGCCCGGCTCGCTGGCCGAGAGGGAGGGGCTGCGGGTCGGAGACCAGATCCTGGGGGTCAACGGCAAGCCCCTGGACAGGGCGACCCACGCCGAGGCCGTCAAGGTAACGCCGCCGCCTGAGGGAGGTAATGGGGTGGCACGGGGAGGGTGCCTTCAGCCCCTCGGGGGTCCCCCCCAGGCTGCTGTCCCCTCTCCTGCCTCGTAGGTGCTGCTTGCTTATAGAAGAGCCAGGCTTTAGGGTGTGGGATCTGGTCCTAAAGTGTGCTGCCCGCTCCCACAAGTGGGGAAACTGAGGCACGGGGAGGGCAAGGAGCTCGTCTCCTTCCCCAGGAGCTGGGGTGGGGGTGCCAAAGGCAGGTGCTGGGCTTTAGGGTGTGTGATCTGCCCCTAAACCCTGCTCCCAAAGGTGGGGAAACTGAGGCACGGGGAAACGGAGGAACTCAGCTTATCCCCCTCCAGGAGCAGGAGGTGGGAGTGCCAAAGCCAGTGGTCCTGTAGTGCGGGTCCTGGGCACAGCAGCAGGGTTTTAAGGTGTCTGATCTGCCCCTAAACCCTGTTGCCTGCTCCCAAAGCTGGGGAAACTGAGGCACGGGGAAAAGGAGGAACTCAGCTTATCCCCATCCAGGAGCAGGAGGTGGGAGTGCCAAAGCCAGTGGTCCTGTAGTGCAGGTCCTGGGCACAGCAGCAGGGTTTTAAGGTGTGTAATCTGCCCCTAAACCCTGCTGCCTGCTCCAAAATGTGGGGAAACTGAGGCACGGGGAAACAGAGGAACTCAGCTTATCCCCCTCCAGGAGCAGGAGTCCCAAAGCTAAAACTGGTCCTGGGGCACAGGTCTGGGACGCAGGTACGCAGCCGAGCTGCCTCCGGCTCTTTTCTGGCTCTTCGCACAGCCGGGGTGCCCCAGGCAAAAGCCCCCGTGTGCAGGTAGGTGCGGGGCAGGCAGCCGGGGGGCTGACCCGGTGCTGATTTGGGGTTTGAGCTGGCTGTGAGCGACCCGAGCCCGTCCCTGTGCTGTACCAGCGATCTGGTGGCAGGGCTGAGGGGCTCGGTTCGCAGCGATCCCGTGAAGCTGCGGAGCTGGGGGGGAGCCGACCCTCGGGGCTGGGGTCTGTGGGCAGCGGGTGGGTAACAGGGGCTGCTCTGGGGCTGCTCCATGCTTCAATTATTCCATAACGAGCTAAGGCGCTGCTGCTCGCAGCCCGCTCCCCGTGGTGTGTTTTTCCAGCCGTGCGTTAATCTCGTGCGGCTCTGAGCCGTGCCCCACGCAGCCAGCCTGCCTGCCCCACACCCGGGCAAGGGCACAGCTTCAGCCTGGCAGGAGTCCTGGGCAGCCCTGAGGCTGCAGGAGAGGTTTGTAGGAATTCTCTCTTCCCCTGTTTTCTCGTGCTAGTGACAGGGTGGGAGTTTCTGCAAGTTTGTCCTGCAGTTGTGTGCTCTTAAGGTTGCAAAACCCACGTACGTGGTCTGCGGGGAAGGGATGGGTGGAAGGCAGGTGTCAGGAATTTCTCCTCTGTTAAATGGCTTCACCCCCAACTCAACCCACGGTGCCGGGTAATTCGTGTAATAACTTTCATTTTGCTCTCTAATACAATGTGCTCCCTCTTAGACTCTCAATTAGGCTCTATTAGCATTGTGTGAACTAAGTGCTTCCTGCACAGAAATAATTCCTGTAGGATGCGATTTGCCAGGGGGCCGTTCTGTGACAAGAGCAATATCTTGCTGGTGTGATTTTTGATATGAAAGAGAAGCTTAGAAACTGTCTGCTCGTGAGCTGAACTTCTTTAAGCTGCAGTCTTGTCGCTCACCCGGCTGTGCTGGCATCTTGTAGGGCTCCTGCCGCATCCCATGGGGGTGCTCTGGCTGCTGGTGGTGGTGGCGAGAGCCGCAGTGTGATTTACAGTGCTGCCTAACAGTTCTTGGGAGGCTTTGGAATGAAGCAAATGCTAATTTGTCCTTGCTGCCTCTTGTGGAGGGGGGGGATGAAGAGGAGACTGCAACCAGCGATGCCAAAGGGCTGTCCTTGGAGGGCTTCTTTGGGGTTGGGGTACAAATGCCCACATTAGGATGCGGAGCAGGGTGTCTGTGCCCTTGGAGGGACGTGGTAGTGTACGAGGTGGGCAGAACCCGTGTGGTTTGCTTCCCCTGGACACCGGGACCTCAGCTCAGCCTTGATTCTGGTGTCAGCAGCTCCACCAAGTCCCCTGGCTGCCTCCTGGTCTGTGAGACCAGAGCGAACTTTGCTGGTGTCCTTGGTGGTGCCTGCTGGTCTGCTCTGAGGTGGGTCGGTGGAGGGAGAAAGTGTTGGTGAGACCAAGCAGGGTTTGGTCCTGGGATCAGATTCAGTGGGAGAAAAAAGGTGAGCAGAGGCTTTCTTAGTGCAAAACCTCAGGTGTGTGGCTGGGTCTCCCGGTAGCTGGGTCTGCCTGCCTTGGACCAGATGTGGTGATCTGCCTGGTCCATCAGGAGCTGCCCGGGGACAGCACGGCTCCTGGCTCTGCCTGGAAAGGAGCCCGTTCCCGTGCTGTGTTTCCATCTTCACCCTCCTGCGGCAAGGAGCTGTCTGGGGCAGCCTCCTTATTCAGAGTATGCAGAACGTGGTGGGGTGGGAGCAGTTGTCAAAGCTGTTCTTCAGGGCGTGAGATCGCTGCGGAGATCAGGAAGGCTGCTTCTCATTGCTGGCCTGGGCTACCCTGGGCACGTTGGGCTCCCCAGCCAGAGTCACAGCCTGAAACCAGCTTTCTGGGGTGCTCGGGGACTCCCAGCTATGAGTACAGGCAGTGAGTGCCCCCGTGGTACCACCTTGCTCATGAAATCTGGTCGGTGCACTCACAGGGCGATCGGAGCATTCATCTCACAAATCATGATGCTCAGCTGCCTCCTCTTGTGCCCGTGGGCAATGCAGGAGTGCCCCAGCCTTGTCCAGTGCTCCTCTCCAGGAGAAAGGCACTGTCCCGAGGGCTGAGAGCTGTTTCTCATCTGTTTTGTGTTTTCAGGCATCAGCCAAAACTGGAACTGAATGAGAACTGCTGCGATGCTGGGCAAAGACATCAGAAGTAATGAGCTGTGAGCTGCTCTGGCTGCAGAGTGCCCAGTGGCCTGTGACCAGTGCGATGGGGCTTGTAGATATTTTTAGTGAAAATTGCGTTTATAATTCCTTTTTTTTTTTTTGAACTTAAATGACAAGATTACCTAAGCACGCCAAATCAATTCACTTAATGGCCAGCTTCTTAACCTTTATGTTGGTAGTGGAGTTTTATGTCTTGGCTGCTCTGTGCTGTTCCGTTCAAATCCAAATTAAACGACTCCATTACAATTAGAGCTCTATCATTCCAGCATTCGGGAGTGCACTTTAGAAAAAGATCACTGTAATTTGAATTATGGCGTAAGGGGAGAAGTTTGTATTACCTGGCATCTTTTTAGAACTCGCCTGGCTTTCAGCAGCCTTCCCGCAGCACGCACCTGATATCGATGCGGTCGTGCTGAAAGTTTATTAGTAAAGCTGTGAGGTTTTGTCCAGGTGTCTCTGGGTTTAGACCAGTGAGAGCACTACACAGGGAGGTATTTCTCCTTTCTTGGGTGTTTGTGTTAAGCTCACACTCCCCTTTTCCCCCCCAGCCCTTACTTCTGTTGCTTTGCAGTAGGTTTTCATGTCCTGAAAGCCTTGGGGAAGGGGAGAGGAGTGAGTGTGAATGCCTCACTGCTGATTGAGGATTGGGCTAAATGAGTTACAGCCAGCCTCGCACGAGCTGCTCTGCTTCTTGCCATCAGACTGCTTGCCCTGCCTCATCTCTCTGCGTTTGCCCGGCTGTTAGCATCAGCAGAGGAGCCTGACAAAAAAAACCCACAGCCAGGGCTGACCTGTGTGCAGCCGTCCTGTGCAGCATGGTGCTTCTGTGGTCCTTCTGTCTGTCTCAGGCTGAATCCCGGTGAGTTTCTGTCTGTCTGCTGGGGGTTTCCATGCCTCCCAAAGCAGCCTTTCCATCTCCTCCTCTGAGAGCTCAGAAATAACAAAAAGGAGGTTCTGGTTCTGTTCATTTAGCCATGGTTGATGGCCAGCCAGGTGGTCCCAGTGGCCATGGTACCTCGCAGGATCGTGGCACTGCTGAGACCCTGGGGAGACGGCAGAGACCTGCAGCCCTGAGCCTGGGAAGTGAATCTACAACAATTTTGCTTCCCAGGCAGCTTACAAGAACGTGAGTCTCACTTCAGTGTTTTCTGTGATGCCCAATTAATTGATTATCCAAGACTGCTTATTTGCTGTAGTCAGTAATCACCACTGTACTTCATGCGCGATTATAACAGCTGGTAGGAAGGAACACAGCTTGTTTCTTGGGTTTTAACCCTCCGAGTTGTGGATCATCACAGATGGTGATGGTTAGGGTGGGTGGGGAGGAAGAGCAGTACGTCGGTGCCCTGGTTCTGTAGGTGTCAGCCCTGTTCCTTTATGCCTGCTTCCTTAGCTCTAGTCTAAAGTCACTGATCCAGAGCCAGAAACCTCTCCCTTTCCCAAGGGATCTCTCCGGTATCTGGAGCACAGAAAAGGATGTGAGTGGCATCTATCCCAGCAGCAGTAACCTGTTCCTCGGTCTCTGGACCTGCTTAAAAACTGAACCCCCAGAACTGCACGCAGCAAAAGCCCCCGCGGGGCAGGAGGCAGGGGCAGGGGCTCTGCAGTGCTGCAGGTGTTTGCTGCTCTGTCCTGCGAGCGGTTTCCATTTTAACTCTCAGAGCTCAGAGGATGGAGGTGGGAGGTGTAATGTCACCAGGATCCCTCCCCAGGAAAAAGGGGATGGGAAAGAGGTCGCTCCTGGACTCGGAGGCATCTGCCTTTGAAATGAGTTCTGCTCCTGGCAGGGAAGGGCTCGTGGCAGAGCAGCCAGCGCTGCCCTCGGCTCACGGACAGAGCTGGGGACACCATGGGGCAGGCTCGAGGGGCCAGCTCACCTGGGACCCAGGGTCCGGCTGGGGATTGATGCCTGTCACTGTGCACTAATTGAGCTGGTCCAATTAATGTTGTAGGTAGCGTGGAGTGTGGGGAGCGTCCTCTGGCCCTGCAGAGATGGGGTTTCCCTCCGTTACACCAGCAAATCATCATTACAAGCA